GTTCCTAAGGCGCGGGACACCTAGCACAAGAACATTTCTTAAGAAACATCTTACTCGACTCCCAAACACTGAAGGGGTTCAAAGATGAGCAGATCCCCCCATATATGGTCGTACAGGAGGTGCTCGTCAAACTCACTGAAAAGCAGCTGCTTTATGGTTCGCAGCATCTAACGGGGCTCTCTTTATGAGGAAGAATTCAGTAAAAGGAATAGTTAGGTTTCTTCCTGAGCAACTAGCTCGTTTTTACGGAGGCGGTCCTGCCTCAGAACCAAAGCCAGCATCCCGTGGATGGAAAACCTCGCCCACGGCTGCACCCTGCTTCTCCATCCTGCTTTTTCATTCGCTCTTATGTCTTCTCTTCCGTTTTTATTTTGTTACATGTATTTCTGGAGCTAACAAAATCTTTCCAGAACAGGCGGAATCGAAATGAATGAATAGTCAGACATCTAAACAGCTAAAAAGTAATTCTAAGGAAAAAAAAGGGTAGAATGCAATCATTCAGGACTAAAATAGAAGACTTTTCAATAGAGGTAAGATATTCTTAAAACAGGAAACTAAAAGCCACTAACAGTCCTGACGAGGAAACTTAGGAGTGGCGTTTGGGGTAGAATCTAGAGAAATCAACACGGCCCAGAAGAAAGCCTGCCCAGGAGGGTAGGAGCCTAAAAGGAACACCTCAGTTAGGACATCACCAGGAAAGCATGAGCCACCATTTACCAAGGATAGGTAGTCAATATTTCAGGTTTTGTGGACTTCATGGTCTCTGTCACACTCAACTCTGCCACTGCAGTGTGAAAGCGGCTACAGGCAATCTGCAGAGGAACAAGCATAGATGTGTTCCAATAAAACTTTATTTAGGAACACTGAAATCTAACCTTCCTATAGATTACACATCACTAAATATTTTTTATGTTTTTTTTTTTCAACTACTTAAAAACACGAAATCATCCTTAGTTCACGGATCACATAAAGAGCTGGCTGTGGGCCATGGTTTGCCGACCCTAATACAGACAAAATGAGCCAAACCAGGAACCTACTATTTTATTTCTATCTCCTCTTTCAAGGAAAACCATCCTCAAACCCTAAGAAGCAGGATGGCACAGTGAAGGGGGATGTGAAGGGGGATGTGAAGAGCAGGGAAGGTGAGGAGCTGGCTGGAGCAGCCAGCTGCTCTCACACGGTCCGCATCTGCAGGGCAAGCAGCGTGTCAGAGATGCTGCTGAAACTGTGGTCAGTGGTCTCTGACGGATGCCAGTGGACAGGAGGTCCAGGGGACTGGACAACAGGAAAAGTCATATTCTCGAAAAGGGGCAATATGAAAATTATTGGGGAAAAAAAAGAAAATTAATGATCTGGGTCTGGAAATGATTTCCAGTAGAATTTGAAAATATGAGTGAAAAGTATGAGCCCTCAGAAGAGACAGTGATCACAGAGAGCCAGCAAGGCTTACGAGAACACGCCAAATTAAATTAAGGTCTATGTATTTTTTTCTTATTACAAAAGCCATACACGCAATCATAGAAAACTGAGACACTGCGAAGCAGCAAAAAGGAGCAGGAAGGTCCAGTGACGACCCCTATAAACACCTCGCAGTGTACCTTTCCGGACCTAGATACGTATTAACGAGATCACACACTACACATTCTGGTTTATCGCTTAATAGTTTTTATGCAAATCTTATCTAAATCATCATTTTCTGATGCCTGAAAAGTTAAGGCCATTGTATAGGTGTTTCAGGATTTAACCATCTGCCTTTGTTTTGGACATTTAGGTTATCTACCCCCTCGCTCCCACCCCACACACCCCTTTTCTGAGTATTATTTTTAAAAAGCAGCAGTGCTCGTCTTTGTGGATAAATCTTTTTGCATATTTGTAAGTATTTTCTAGAATAAATTCCCAGTAGAGGAAGTGTGAGGATCACAGGTGTGCTTCATGGCCATTTTGATCAGGGTACGCGATGGCAGAGCAAGGGACATAAGCTTCTCAGGATTTCTGCTTTGAGTCAGTAGACGTCGCTCGCCCTTCTGTGGGCAAGAGGAAACTGCTGGCTGGGCTACTCAGAGCCTCGGTCACGTGTTGGCAGACGGGACGCACAGCGCCCCAAAGGCTGGATGGGTACGAATGAACGTACAGGAAGGCTGAGCCCGGCTGTACGAGGGGGGACCTTGCGGAGATGGAACGGGCTCCTTGGAGGTGGTGGTCCCAGCCACGGGCGGCATGTGAGCAGCCAGTCAGAATGATCGCCTGGCCCAGAAGTCACAGTGAGTCGTCCCCGGCCAGGTAAACGCCGGGCTAAACGCCCGCCCTTCGCCCTCCCTTACTTCCCCAGCATTTCATGGTCACCTCTGGAGCTGGGGGCAGAGCTACAGAATGTCTCCGCTGGTTTCTCCAGCAACTCTGAGCAGAGTCCTTCCCTTTGCGGGTGTGTTTAGAGATGAACCGTCTTAGAGAAAGGTACAGGAGAAGGGACCTATTAACAGGTATGTCCTTGGGAAAACATTCGAAAGTAAATATTACTTTAATAACCATCCAAGTTAAATGTGGGCTGCTTTTCAAAATGCTAATTACGCTGTTTGAAAAATCTGCTTATCTTAAGAAGACAAATACTATTAACTGCAAACTAAGGGGCCACACGTTTTCGGGAAAGAATCGGAGCACACCAGAGGTTTGCCCCTCAGGCTTGCGTAGCCCCTGAAGTCTGCAGTGAGCATGTGGTGGAGCCCGTCTGGAAAGAGAACGGTCCGATGATTCATTTCACTGCCAGCCGAGCTCTAGCTGTCATGGCACCAGGCGCTGGGCGAGGGCGAGGGCCTGGGGCACACTTTGCCTTGACTGTTTTTGGAATAAACCCTTGAAACCTTAACTTTACAATCCCAAACTGAGATGTGCCACTCAGTGCCAAACACTGTTCGTACGGGGGATGAGGGGGTGGTCTCTGCTCCCTCCCAGCCAGAACGACTTGCAGGCAGGCTGCTCGTGGGGAGGCGGGCAGGCTTCCCAGTTGCACCGTGGTTGCCCAGTGCTGAGCTTGCAGGCCTTATGGAGCCAGCAGGTCCTGCGAGGTATTTCTGGCAGCAGGACAACGAAGCAGTCCTGGACCCTGGCAAAGCAATTCGGTGCCTACAGCCACCGAGGGGGCCTGAGCTGCCTGCTGCTGTGGGCTGCAGCCTCAACTACCTCTGTTTGGAAGATAAAATCCAATTGACTGCCATTTACATAAACGTAACAGGAAGTTTCTGAATGGCTTCCCCTGTGTCTTGAGGCTGTTACCTCAGTATTGCTAAACTAACAGCTGAAAGGAACCCAGACAACACCTCATCAAAGCCAGGGGGCGAGGAAGCAGCGGCCCAGAGGCAGACGGGAGCATTCCT